ATTCTGTGAAGTTGTCCTTGGCTTTATAAAGCCCCATTCCACACAAAGAACAGTGCAAATTGGGAGGAATCGGGGCTTTCTTTCAAGTAGTCACTTTTTAGTGTTTGCCTCAGGATATTCCCCAAACACAAGCAAGGCATAGGACGGATTCGATTCTTCATTTACGAATGCATCGAGTATGTGCAAATCCCATGCACAGATGCAAGGCTCTGTGTTAACTGCACTAAAGAACATTATCAGGGGGCCTGGAGAGAACCAGGGGCAATAACTCACGTGACTGAGAACAACGCTGCAAAACAGAGAGAAAGCTTGCAGAAGAGATTCGGTGCTTTGGGAAAAGAAAGATCACTTCCGGTGATCTTTCACCTAGCCAGGACGACTAGGAAAAAGAATTTCAAAAAGGGTTTTGAGTGAAATCTAAAAGAGAGAGATCAGCTCTGAGATCTATGGAGGAAGAGTATCCCAGGCAGAGGAGAAGCAGGCCATAAACCCAGCATCCAGAACAGGAACCTGTATGTACGAAGCAGGAAGCAGAACGTGGCTCGATTCAGACGCTAGGAATAAAGATGAGAAAGTTGCTTGGGGTCTGGTCTGACCGGTTCCTGTATTATTATTTAAAAATTTGGAAATGTCCCTGTACATAATATCGTGGTGTTACCAGGTGACAACGGTACCAACAGAGACTATTTCCCTTTCCAAGTCCCAGTTCCAGATATGCTAAACACATGCACATTTTATGGAAAGAAAAAAAAATCGTAGATGTAAATTGTGCCCTAAAATAGCTAGTGGAAAGTTAGAGAAGTAAATTAAAAGATAATATATACATACAAAAGGAGAGGGGAAAGGAGTCTTTGCCAAAACTATACAGAACCCCCTCTGCCCCTTTAAGTGGCTGGCATTGAAAAATGAGGCAGGATCAGAAGGAATTCCAAATATGCTTGGCCTTTAAGATCTATAAATAGGGGGCATGCTATTTATATGTAACCTACTTCCAAATCCCCCCTCTTTAAGTGGCTACCAGGGACAGCCGTCAGAACTTCATCCTGGGCAGTCCTGAAGCTCACGGCTCTGGTGAGCGACCCTCACCACTTGGGGTGGTGGGTTTCTGCAGCGCTGACGTTCAGGACCTGTGGTCCTGTCGCAGGTTCACACATGAAAGGAGAGGAAAGAGGAAGCCGAGAAAGTAGCGTAATGAACCAAACACGGACCTGTCGCCTAGATGTGATCATTGTCAAGATTTTGCCCCATTCGCTTTACCTATTTGATTTTTGGAAACCCTGAGACATTATGAAGCATTCCACGCATTGTTATCTCACTCCTGCTGCTTCGGTTGGCATCTCTCATACGTGCAATCCTTCTCTTCAATCATCTTAATGAGGTTAACACATACTCTTCTGTATCATCTACTCCGGTTTATAATCACATTGCCCCTACTGTCTCAGACATGCTGTTTTTTTAGACGGCTTGTTTGAGTAACAATCTAAAGAAGTCCCACACTGGACATTTGGTGGGTATGCCTCTTAAGACTCTTAATTTGGAGCAGTGCCCCATCCTCCCTCCTTTCCCCGCTGCCCTAGACTTGTGTAAACCAGGTCAGTGTTCTCATAGAATACACCACGGTCTGCCTTTGTCTCTTAGCTTCCTTGTGGTATCATTTAACTCTACCCCAAAATACATTTTCAAATTGAATACCATCAGTTTCTATATATGAATAGCATCAGTTTCTATATATTCTCATTCTCCTTGGGCACAGATGAACAAGCTAAGGGAATTTATCAGGATAAACACAAGCTTTTTTTAAAAAAAATGGCAGAACTGAATTTTAATGCTAGCTGAGCACTTTTACTTGGAAAAATTCTTATTTGTATACGTTACTTAACTTCTCCAAGATAGTTTCATTATGAGCACCCACTAATTTCATTAGTCCTGACAAAATGGTCTAGGCCAAAAGTCCTGATGGTTTTATGTGCGTGGGGGAGAAGAATTCATGAGTTAAATGAGTACACCCTTCAGCCCACCCCCATCACTGAAGGCGGGTGGATGCCCCGTCCGTGAAACTGGTAGTCTGTCTTCCTTGGACTGGAGCAAGGGCGCTGGGGTCTCGGCAGGCAAAGTTCAGCCTGCTTACGGGGTTCCGCATCAATCTCTCCCAGGGGCTTTCTGAAAAGGCTTCTGAGTACTCGAGCTGTTGATGCTGCTGCACTGACATCTCTTGGCCTGGGAACAAGCTGACAGTAATGTTTCATTGCTAAAGGGCACCACTGCATTTCCTCCATTTCACATGGAAAGTGAAAGAGGGAACGATGATCACATGAATGCATGTCATTCTGCTATTCCATGGGCTTGATGGTAATAACATTCTATGTGTTATGAACTTCACAAACACTAGAGCAGCTGTCTGCAATGCGCCAGAACCTCAGGGGATGGTTCTCAAAGAGTAGTTAAGGGATCCCCTGCATCAAAATGGTTGGGATGCTAGTCAAAATGTGCATCTCTGAGCTCTGCTTCTGACCCAGTGAATCAAAAATCTCTGGGAGTAGAACCCAAGAATCTGCATTTGAACATGCACACTGAAGTTTGAGACTGTGAGATATTCTGGGATGGAACTTCCCAGTGGTGAACTTGGCCCAGAGTTACACAGTTGTGAAATGGAGAAGCTGATACTGTAATCCACATTTGTGATTGCCAGTGATGGTCATGTAACTCTCACTAAATCACTCCTACCAATCTTTTGGGCCATTTAGCTTATTAATAAACCCGTCTTTTCAAGGCCTTAAGATGCTGTGTGATTCCTCTTTTCCATTCCTCTCTGGAAGGGAGACCCATCAGAGAGGGATACGGATCGCTCTTTCCCTTTACTAACTAGTAGTGCCTTCGCTCACCCCCAAACCCCCACTTCTCCATTCTCTCTCACCCTCCAGTCTTTCTCCTTGTCCTTCTTCTTAAGTGAAGGAATTTCCAATATGAAGTCCTGGCCAATTCAAAATACAACTTGAAAATGAAGCAGAGCCTTGGTACCAATTTACAGACTTTCGTTAGGTTATTTGCACTTATTTACAGGAGCTATTTCATGGCTATGATATGGGAGGTGGTAATCATGGCTCTGATCGTAATTCTGTCCCTCATGCAATGGCAGCACTAGGCAAAAACTACAATTCCTCTATCCAGCAATTTCAAAACACAGGAGATGAAGGACGATAAACAAAGAAAACAAGATCCGCATTTAACACCGCACACATTCTGAGGGGTAAAGTCACGTCATCTCTGCCGATAATAGCAGGGGCCAAGGAGAGTATTATTGAAGTTTTGGTTTGTTTCCAGTGATTCAATTGTGTGAAGTCTGTTTATAACCCAGTCAGAAGAAAGGGAGCTACTTGACTTGCACTTCAGAAGCCTCTAACTGGGTCCTGGAGCAGAGCATCTCTCAGTCTAGGCTTTTCAGTCCTGAATGAATGATTGTGAGAACCCACTTCTCCTAACTGAAACCTTCTTGCTTCAGGAATGCAGTATGTATCTAGAATCCTGAAATACAGGGCTTTGGAAGACAGTGGGGGAGAACCTCAGGGCCAGTCTGTCTCTGAGCAATTCTCAGAGGTAAGATTCGGACTTGCCACACCACACAAGTTTTTGCAAGGGGTCTGTAGCTACCATAGAGGGGAAAGGGCTTCAACTTGGCCTTCCTACATTTCTGTTTTTTGAGATTGCAGATGGTATTTCCTGTATTTTTTCTATTTGCCTTTTTATCTTGTTTCAGTTCTTCATTTCTAATTAACTCTTCCATCTTTTTGTTATAGTTTTTTTTTTAAAGGGGGTTTATTTTTTAGGGCAGTTTTAGCTTCACAGAAAAATTGAGTGAAAGGTATAGAGATTTCCCAAATTCTCCTCACCCAAAGCCCATAGTTCACATTAGGGTTCACTCTGGGTGTTGTTACTCTGGGGGTTTATTGTTGCATTTTGAAAGTTCTTTGAATAACAGTTACTTATTAGATAAGTCTTTTTGAAAGCGTTTTCTCCAAGTACATGGCTTTTCATTCTCTTGACTGACTTTTAAAAATGAAATAGATCACTCCTCAATTCTTTCTTTTTCAGTAGCAAAGTTTTCACCCAAAACTTTTCTTTCGCAGTCACCAGATTCCAGGTTCTGCTACCACAAATGCCTCTTCTACCTGTCATTTCTTTTTCCTCTCCACTGACTCCACCACCTCAGGCCACAAAGATGCCTCAGACCACTGCAATACCCAAGCGATTACTCTGAATTCGTTTTCTTCCTAGAATCCTTCCTTTGCATTTTGTACCAATACACTTCCAAACATTATTATGATCACACTTATTCACTTAAAACAACTTATACAGAATAAAGTCCAAAATCCTTACTATGGCATTCAAGGCTCTCCATGCATCAGCCTTGGTTTCAACTTAGTTGACTAGCCCTGAGGTCAGAAGCCTGCCTCCTGGAAAACCAGGGACAATGCTGTAAGATCTGCCCCACCCCCCGGGCTTATGTGTATGTATTTATGTTGTTGAGTGGAACCACTAACATGACTCTCATACACGGTGATTTCTCTGCTGGAAATGTGGACACACTCACTGCGTGTGTCCCCGTTGCTACTGTGATTACCCCGACACAGGGTTCCAGGCCACTTCAGAGCTGTGTCATCATCTTTTGGGTAGACGAGCAGCCAGAAAAGGCTAATTGCTGACAGTTACCTGGCTTTCTGTAGCCTGGAGTCTGGAAAGAGATCCCTGATTTACTCTTAATATTATTCAGATACGTTTGACCCGACTCCCAAATTTTAGGGGATCCGCAGTCCTAAAAACGTGACCAAAATAAAAAAAAAAAATACATACATGCTTTTTTAAATTTTGTTACTCATAGCCTTGGTATTAACACAAGCAATTGCGTTAAAACAAATCTGGAAGGCAAAGTAAGTTCAGCAGCGAAACTCCTAGGGTAGCCACAGCACAGCCCTGCTGGGGCGGCCCGCGAGTCTCACCCGAGAGCAGGCGCAGGCGCTGGCTTCCCTCTGTCTCTCGCGAGAACCGAGAGCTTCACTTTCCCCTTCGCGGAAACAGCGGCAGCGTCTCCCGGGCAACAGCAATGGCGGCCCCCATGTCCGAGCGGCTCTTCTCGTTGGAGCTGCTTGTAGACTGGGTGCGTCTGGAAGCCGGACTGCCGCTGCCGCCGCGGACGTCCGTAGTCGAGGCGGAGGAGGAGCTGGACCAGGAGGAGGGGACATCGCCGCCGCCCCTGTCGCGCTCCCTGTGCCCTGCGGTGGCCTTCCGCCTGCTGGACTTCCCCACGCTGCTGGTTTACCCTCACGGGGGCCCCGCCACGCCCGCCCCGGAGCCCCGGCCCGGCCTGCTCCGCTTCGGTCGCGGCAAGTCCTGCCTCTTCCGCCTTCCCCCCGCTACCCTGCGCCGCCGGCTCCTGGAGACACCGCTTTACTCCTTGCTGCTTCATCTGCCCCCCGGACAGCCCACTCCTGCCCCGAAGCTCCTGGGCACCTGCAGCATCTCGCTGGCCGCTGCAGCCCGCGAGGTCCTGGGTCCAGTCACCTCTGGCTGCTCCCACGGCCATCGAGGAAATTTCCCTCTGCATAACCATGTGGGGGAGCGCATTGGGGACATTTCGCTGACCTACCGCCTGACTGACCTGGGGAGCAGTTTGCTGGGCCATCTGCGGCGGCCCATCACTTCCACAGAAGGTGGAGAGGAGGGTGCAGAGGCGTGGGAGGCAGCGGTGGTCCGGTCCCAAGCCCAGCAGGAAAAGCAGCTGCAGCAGCTAGACTCACACCCAAGCCCAGGAAAAACTGATAGGACTCTGCGGAGTTTAAAACCCGCAAAGGCCCAGAAGGATTTGAAAGAAACAGTTTTCCACACTAAGGCCAACTCTGATAACACGGGTCCTGCGGAGAATGGCAAGACCAGCCCTGTTTGTTCAGACGAGAGTGGTGTGGGGCGTGTGAGCTCCCCAGATCAGGAAGTGTCAGAGTTGGACCTTGAAACGAACACATTTTGCCCCCCTCCTCTGTATTACACTCACATGACCCAAGAAAAGAGGCCTCCTGTACAGGGTAAAATCACCATTAAGCCTCAAGTGCATGTACCTGAGGAGCTGGATGGTACTTTTCTGGAAGAAAAACTCATAAATCCCACAACACCTACTAATCTTCTAAAACATACAGCTTCTGCAGTAGAACATGAGAGTCCTGCAGTGCTTAGTCCTCCACATGTTCAGGATGTAGCAGCAAGTAATCCAAATACATGTCACCCTGACACTGAGCCAGGTAGAATTAACGCCATAAGGCAGTTGCCCTTGTTAAACGCGTTGTTAGTTGAGTTGTCCTTGCTGTACAACCAACCTGTGGCAAGTCCTACTCATATACACCCTCACTTAGCCTGGTTATACAGACCTGAGGATAAGAAGTTGCCAGAACCTTCTGCCAAATCCACAGGCAAATCCGAATCAAAGAAAGATAAGCTTTCTGTGGGGGAAAACGAGAAATCACTGAGTCTGCCGTGTAAAAAGAACCAGGTTGAAAATCTCAGGAAAGGTAAATATTTTGAAAAGAACAATGAGGCCCCTGAAAAAAGAGGTCCAAGGGGGAAGCTATTCTATGGCTTAACAAATACACTCAAACTCCGTTTAAAGCAGACAAATCCTGGTATGTTGGTGGTGCATGAAAAGAGAGAACAGTATAGAAAGATGCAAACACAAATGTTAGATGCAAAACTCAGAATTCCATTCTCCAAAGTTAAAATATCGAACTTTGCAGAACAGCATGAGAAGCCACGTCAACTGCCTAAAGAAAAGTGTTTAGATTCAGACACATCTTTTGCTAAAAATAGTGATTCCTCAAAGCCAATCAATGGGGTTGTTGATGACCCCAGCACAACTAAAGAAACTGAACTGAAATGTGCAACTGAAAAGACAGTTAGCTGTGGAGAAAACAGAACCAGCAATGGTTCATTGGAAAAAATTGTGAGTCCTGCAGATTCTATTATGCAAGAAAGATTTGCTCATCTAAATATTTTGGAAGAAAAAGTGGAAATGAAAGTCGAAAGTCCGTTTGTTTCCCAGCAGGTTGCAGTTGTTGACAAAATTGTAATAGATAAAGAAATAGATAAGAAGCAGGTCAAAATTACTGGTAATGACACTCTCACTGCAGATGTGAGTGGCGGTAAGCCAAGGAAAAATAGTTGCTCTGAAAGCATCTCAGAACTAAAATACTCAGATGACTTCACCAGCCCTTGCTATTCTGAAGATTTTTATACTTCCGAGGACACCAGCAGAATTTTGCAGGCTCACGATGGAAGACCAGGGGCAGAAAACCCAACACGTAGTCAACATACAAGTAAGTCTAGCGAAGCGAGAGTGTACATAAGGAGAAACAGCAGTGAAAAGAGTTTTGTTCTCAGCCCGCCATTTTCAGCTGGATCGCCAGTATACTCATCTAAAAGAGCTCCTATTTCAAAGACTCAGGATGAAAGTTTGGAAGAAGCATCTACTGTCTCTACTGATGACTTATCTTCATATTGGACTGAGGAGAAAGAAAACCAGGTAGACCAAACTAGTACGCATCATTCTAAAGTTAGGAAGAGGGGTCAAGACCTCTCTATTAAACTTAAAACACCAACTGATTGCAAGTCTTTAGAAAAAAGCCAGTCAACTCGGACTTCTCAGGTGAGTTCTTACCTGCCATCCAACCTGTCAGAACACAGTAAATCGGATCACTGTGAAGAAGACAGCGATGAGATTGGCTCCCTAAGCATTTCCAAGCAATGCAAAGATATTTGTGAGCTAGTAATAAACAAACTTCCAGGATATACAGTGTAAAACTGTTCTTTTAAACATGTTTCATTTTTTACAACCCTTGTGTATAGTTAGTGAAACAATTTTTAATAACTTTTTACATTCCTTTTATTCCATAAAAAATGGGAACGGTGTTTTTGATTTTTAGTGTTCTACATTAAATCAGCCGGTATTGATCATGAAATTACCTTCACCTAGGTGAGATCTAAGTTGTTTAATTGTGTAAAAATAAAAGTGTCTCTCTTCCTAAACTCTCTCTCCTAAAGTAGCAGTTCTAATGTCTTGATCATCCCAAAGCTGACCTCATGCACGCCACTGAGAAGAGAAGGCCAGTTCATTAAGAATTGCCTCAGATTTTAATGGGAACAGATCAGTTAACAAATAAAGAAAACTTACTGTGTGAGATGCACAAAGGTACAAAAGTATTGAAGCCATAACCTCTGCAGTGATGCTACTGTTTTAAATAAATGCGCATTCTTCAGGGAAGTCTTCTCTGGAGACACACACACCCGGGTCTCCAGTAGGTAAAGCCCTTTTCCCAGGCTCTCGCAGTGCTGTATCTGTGCATCTGTTTGTGTGTGCGTTCGAGCCCCCATATGAGTAATTACTTGACTAACGCGTATCTTCTTTTAGGCCCAAGTTAAGCTTCTCTTGGAGTTATTTTGTGAATACTGATTTCTAGAATTGTGTTAGTTTTTCTAGCTTAAGTCTCGGGAAAATACCTATCTTCATGTTCCTGCCTAGTGTTTCCCATCTGCACCCTTTCTTGCAATTCTACTTCATGATTTAATTGTACAACCTATAAACTTAGTTTTTAAAGAACATCATAGTAGGTACCACTGAAGCTTCCTTTATCTCCGTAATTGCTTAAAATCACTGGAACATGAAATAGTATTTCAGGGTCACAGATAAGGGAGACCTATCATTTAATTGCTTTTAACACTAAGCTGTAATCCGGCTTTCCTGAATAGCACAGGTGTCCAAATGCCGTGGGTGGAGCTGCGTGGGAGAGGGTGGAAGGAGCAAAGTGCGTCCTGGAAATGGCCTTAGGACTTCCCTCTGTGTAGTAGCAACACTTGCAGCTTAGGGGGCGGCTGTCAGCGGTGAGAAGTGTTTTGTACTGTTACCAGAAGTGGATGTATACAGTATTTTTCCCCTCTCTTCACGTGCAGGCTCTTGGGTCTTTAGACACAGAGAACAATGATATTGACCTTCTGCCATGCACTTTTTGTGGCTTTCTGTTGAGAGCCACTCCTTCAATTAATTTATATTTATATGTTTTCAATTAATGTACATCTTTTCTGCCTGTACAAGCAATGCATTTATTATGGAATTAAATTTAGGAACCAAATTTGTATTTGTTGCAACTATATAGGTCAACCCCATAAGCTAAAAAACAAGTGTTTAATTACCAGCATGTGTTGTTGGCAGGGCAAAGAAATTTCATAACAAAGGAAGCAACAAACAAATGAGATGAACAGTATTTACATTCGTCCAGTCCTAAACTGCCATCGGGCCTAGAGATATGGCCATCCTTCAGACTGCTGATATTTTAGGTTGGATTGGAATATCTGGAGTGTTGTACAGGATGACAGTTTATGAGCCAAGACTTGCTGGATCCGTCTCGTTTTTAATCTAAAACAATACAAGGAACACTTAATTTGGTCGAGGACCAAAGCATTTTACTGTTCATCCCTGGAGACCTCCCTGTCCTGCCGGGAAGTAACAGGCTTCAGGCTGAGCGCCATTAGGCTGGAGTGCCAAACCGTAGTACTCCAGTAGAGGTATTTACTTAGTTTCCAAACACTTCTTACATTGCTCATACAAATCATAGTTAGTCTAGAAAGATGGAAAATGTAGATGAGTTAATGCTTTGAAATTGTTAAGGAAAGGTTATGGCCCCTCCCTTCCAAATCCCACTGAAATGCCAGGGGAGGTGTAACAATAAGCACGAGTCCACAGTAGCCCCGGAGAACAAGGAAAACGCTTGGTGGCAGATGGACACTTTGAAGAACTTCTGAAAGATACAAAGCAGGCAGGATTAGGCTGATGGAAATGGATCAGAGATCCCAGTCAGGGCACATGCCTGGGTTGCAGGCCATGACCCTCAGCAACATGTTTCTCTCTCTCTCTTTCTCCCTCCCTTCCCTCTCTAAAAATAAATAAATAAATAAAATCTTTTTAAAAAATGGATCAGAGATACAGAGCCCCAGGTGAACTTCCAGTTCAGGCAGCAGGTCTTGGGGACAGGAGCTGATCTTGGGGATGGAAGGAGCGGTACCAACGGAACCCCGAGTATGAGGGAGACGGTGGGGCTGGGCTAATGGGCATCTACCAGGAAAGCTGTAGGGGCTGCAGAGAAAAAACTAGTATTTTTGCTTCTGACACCAAAACATATTCCGGTGTCTCAGTTTTACTGGGGAGACCACTGACCCTAGTGGGACATGGAGGCACTATATGGAACCCCGGGCTTTGGAGACGGGTGTGTGGTGTCTGAATCCCTGATGGTGTTCCGTTATTTTTGTAGGTTATTTCTTCACTGATGTGAGGACTGAATCAAAGCGTATATGACAGTGAATGTGCATGTGTCGGGGTGTGTACTTACCGTTGCAGAGAGTGTACCGTGGTATCTGTGTTCCTGCCTTAGGGAGGTGTATTGTCAAAGCCTCAGTCGGGAAATTAGCTCTCCCTTCCCAGCGGTTTAACCCTAAACCTCCCATGGTGCAGCAAGGAGCCCTGCATGCGGGAGAAGCAGCATGAAGGCCTCTGGCAGGTAGGAGGGTAAGGGTGTGGAGGGGCAGGGGCAGGGAGAGACTTGAGGTCAGAGAGCAGAGCCACAAAGCTAAGCCCTGGGAGGAACCCTTCTCCGAATATGAAGCCAAGTGGGACATCTGGCTTTGTGCAGAGTGCCAGAAGCAGGGGACACACAACTTCTTTCCCATCCATCAACAAAGGGTGCTCTGGGCCAGGGCACACACAGACTCCCTTTTCCTCAGAGAGGAAGTGCAGGGGCGACAGTGCTTCCCCACAAACCCGGTGGTCCTGCCTCTAGGGGGGTGCTCACGAAAACCTCTTCCAAGTTAAAAAACCATTTACACATCTTTCCATCGTAGGTGCCCAGAAATGTCTGCTTTCCTTTAGACGCCTTGGAATTGGGGGGCGGGGGGGTGGTGAGCGGGGAAGCAGCTGTCAGCGATGCGTCATCGTTAAAGAGCCAGAAGTTCTACGTGGAATCAGTTGGGAAGAGATGACGCTCAGCTTTCAGACCGGATACTGTAGCTGGGGAGAACCCCGGCAGCAGGAGTCGAGGGAGAGCCTGGTGTTTGAATGGAGAGCGCGTGGGCTTGTCCCGGGGCAGGCCCCGGTTAGGGGTTAGCCCAGCCAGCCCGGAGGGATGGTAGCACGAGGCAACAGCTGAAACCTGCAGGAAAGCAGACGGCTGAGAGTCTGTGAATGAGTTAGTTATTGCAGGATCAGAAGAAACCTGTTCTTGTAAGCTGGCCTATTGAGAATATTGTGTGCTTTATTTGCTTATTTTCTGTGTTGTTCTTGGTTATAATAGGGGTTTGTTATTTTTTTTTGAAGGATCTTTCAGTTGAGCTGTAAGAGCAATAGGAAATGGCTTTGGTTGTGGCTCGTTATTGACTGAAATCCTAAAGGAGAGGTGTAGCCCCCGGCTCTACACACTGACAGAGAGAGAAACAAGATACAGGGGGCTTAGACAGCCCCTCCTCTCTACCCAGGGATTCCCCTTCGGCTGTTCTCTCCTAAAAATCTGGAAGGTTTTGCTTCTCGTTTCCTTAACAGCAGCTGCTCGATTACAGAGTCTCACGCCCCCACCCCACAACTGCCTGCAGTGCTCGGAACCTCTGATTTCCGTGGTGACCCAGTACGGTAGATTGGGACCAGATTCTGGACTCAGAATGGCAGAGAAATAATGGATCGCTTCAGATGTGGCAAAACCTGTTGTCAGAAGATTGGAGCGACATTTACTCCTTGCAAACCTTAAGGATATTTCCTAGTACTTTAGGACAGCGTTTATTAAGCTGAGGGCAAAGATCTTTCTAACCTTCTGGAAAAGCCTGGAGTATGAACGGTGGCTCCTTGTTAGCTGGTATGCCATCGCTCGGATATTCTCTGTAATAGCTGAGAGGCAGACACAGGGGTCAGAACTTCCGTTTTCAGATGCAACTTCCATTCTCGGCTGCTTTCCTGGAATGTGCGATTTCTCAGCACTTTCTGCTTCACTGGCCACAGCCTGAGCTCATACTGTCAGCCTCAAAAACCAGCATGAGAGAGGATCTTACTAAAATGATGGCCTTACTTTCCGCTGGAAAATAGGGCTGCTAAAAAAGAAAAATGTGTTTGGTTGTGGTCTCCATTATTGGCAGTAATTTAATGATACCACCTCCTGATTGCAGACCGGCGCTCAGGTCCCGAAGGGCTGCCTCTCTCTGCGTGGTCCTCACTCCAATACCAAGCCCCCAGTCCGGTGTTGATGCAGATGAGGAAGCCGAGGCTGCTTCCATATTCATTGCCTTTCTCCCTTTCACAGAAAAAGGCTCTTGGTATAAATCTCAGGAAGTCCATGTTCCTTCAATACTCGTAATTACCAGAGTCAGATGGATAGCAATAGTGTATAAGCAGCTAACATTCTAGTTTTGAACATTATAAAACAGCTGTATTTTAGCCCTCCCTATTGTTTTTGTGTCTTTTATTTTAATCTGCTAAGTCAACTGTTTTTACTAAACCAGACGTACGCTTTCCTGCGTCTGAAAGGAAGTATCTGTCTCTGCTGAAAACACGATTATACTATCACAGAACCCAGGTGTGGGATTTGAAAGCGGCTGGAGTTGTTAGACAATTCTTGCAAGACAAGAAAGCGTGAATTCCTAGGCATGTGCAGCTAGAAGATAATTTGGAAGTCATTTGGTTAACTCCTTCATTCGGTAAACAAGGAACATGGCCCAGGAAAACGGGTTTGCTGGTCGCCTGTCCTTAGCACAAGATTCTTTTCCTTGGAAAATGCCACTCGGTGTCAAATTGCGAATGCAGCTCACCCGCGTCGTGTCGGCAGACACCCCGGAAACGTTTGTATTGAAAAGACTAACCCAAAAATTCACTCATTTAGGGATGTGGCAGTTCATCCTCTTTCTGGCTCTTCCGCTCTCCCTCCCTTCCCCCAACTCCTCCCCCTCTCTCGCTTTACATTTTGAATGTATTTTATGCAAGTTTTCCCTGAAGTGCGACAT